CCCCCTGGGAATGGCCTAAAGACACTACAGTCAGTGGCACCGTCCCGGGGGTGGGGGTAGGGTGAAATCGAGTGGCACGGACATAGAATGTTGTAGAAATCAAACGCCATAAAATAACCAATATTGGACACAGTCGAAGCTTCAGAGACAACGAGGCACCGAAAATAGAAACGACGAATACAATTTAATGACATGGACTCCGTGGATACAATTGAAATTTTTCCTTTCCAAGGTGGTGAGCTCGCGGTTTCAGAACTGCTTGGTTATATTTGGAGGAGGGATGGAGGGGGAAAAAAGAGGATGAAGGGGGAGACGGAGAAAGAGAGAAAATTGAAAGAAGGAGAGAGAGAGAAAGAATAAATGAGCTAGAGAGAGAAAGAGAGAGAGTCGAAATGGTTATAGTAAAATTTTCCTATTTTTATCGTTTCATTCCATAAATTTGCATTTAACTCTGCATTGAACGTGTATCACGTAATTTTCACTACATAAATCACTTTTTTGTGTTCTGTATTATTTGCCTGTCATCTAGTCTTTGGCTGGTGTGCAGGTTTTTTTATTCTTGGTTTGTTCCACGTAGTATTTTTAGCATTTCTAATGAAAATCGTAATCAGAATAACAGGTCGCTCAAGTTATCTTTTCGAGCGACGAACAAGAAGAAAGCCTGAATGTTATGGATCAGCATAGAGGTATGAGAAGAACCTTTATAATAAATTATGCAAAAGCAATGCATTATTTGATATAATCAAGAATTTGTTTTATCAAAGTTAATGTTGTCAAAGCACGGAGTAATTTCCTAAAAATGCCATAATATAATATTTAAGCTGCTAGTCGTACGTAAATCAGATTTTCTAAGACAAAAGTTTTACAGTCGTCTCCTCTATCGTCGGTTAAACTCGCTCGACCTGATATTCGATTAAGTTGATCTTTTTCTCGGGTCCAAGCACCACTAACTTCTTCTTTACAGTTCCCGACGGTTAAGTTGAACTTCGCTTGAGTTCATCTTTCTCTCACTCCCCCGACGACATCAATTCATCCTTAGTCGACTGTAATATGTTTATGTAATCACTATCATTTTGTTGCAGGCCTCTACCGTTCTAGTCACTGGCATAGATTTGTTTTAAGATGTCTTAGATCGCGCGCTTTGACGCAACTCCGGTTCGCAATGGAGAGCGCCATTAAATTGACTCCGTTTGGAGCCAAATAAAGGGCAATTGGGGAAGCTATAGCGTGCACTCGCTCGACTAGATCTATAGAGAGAGTCTGGTGATTTTGCCGAAGATCATTTGGGCGCACAAGTTCGCACGCTTGAAGCGATTTAGAAAAGACAATTGACATAATATACAGTGCAAAGAGCATTGGCTATGACAGTTCAGGTCAATGGTATTATTGTTATAACTCGGGCAAAGGGAGATGAGTTGCTAAATTCATGAATGCGCCAGAATATTGCTTCAAAGGGTTGGCAATAGTTATTTGTTTTTGTACAAACAATATTATACCTTTTGTTGCGTTCCCTTTGACACAATTTAGATAATATTTCAGGAGATGTGTTACACAAAAAAAGCCTTGTGGGAAAGGGGGG